CAGATAAAAATACAAAATATCAAACTACAAATTTAAAACTTAATTAAAAGGCAAATATTAATAGTTGGTCTAATTAAAATTATTTTAAAACCCCTCTAAAAATTTTCCCCTAGGCCAGTCCCGCAAGCTGGAATAACCATGTCTTAAGGGCGCGGCGGAAGGAAGGGAGATCAGGGATCACCCTGATCTCTGGGGGTAGCTCGTTCCAGAGGGTGGGAGCTCCCACTGAGAAGGCCCTCCTCCTTGGGGTCGCCAGCTGGCACTGTCTGGCCGACGGTACCCTGAGGAGGCCCACCCTGTGGGAGCGTACAGGTCGATGGGGGGTAATCTGCGGCATGTTGAGTTTCATGTAAGCTACATAAAGGGAGACCAGGCTCAAGAGACAGTAGCTGGGACCTTGGAGCCCTGGTGGCAGATCCCTTAAACCAGGGGTCTTCAAACCTGGCCCTTTTATGACCTGTGGACTCCAACTCCCAGAATTCCTCAGCCAGCATGGACCATATAAGTCAGGGGTCTTCAAACTTGGCCCTTTGATGACTTGTGGGCTTCAACTCCCAGGCATGTTGGCTGAGGAATTCTGGGAGTTGAAGTCCACAAGTCATCAAAGGGCCAAGTTTGAAGACCCCTGCCTTAAACAATCCCTTAAACATGAGCCAGCCGTGTGCAGCAGCAGCAGCCAAAACAGCTAATACAATCCTGGGTTGTATAAAAACGGAGGGATAGAATCAAAATCACGTGAAGAATTAGTAAAGCCTTAGTGAGGCCACACCTGGAATCCTGCATCCAGTTTTGGTCCCCACGTTACAAAAAAGATGGTGAGACTTCGTGGAAAGTGCAGAGAAGAGCAACTAAGAAGATTAAAAGCCTGGAGACTAAAATATACAAAGAACGGTTGCAGGATTTGGGAATGGCCAGAAAAGAAGGACTGGGGGGGGGAAACACATGATACTACTGTTCCAATATCTGAGGGGTAGCCACGTAGGTGGGGAGGGGGGGGTCAACTTATTTTCCAAAGCCCCAGAAGGCAGGACAAGAAGCAACAAATGGAAACTAACCAAGGAGAGAAGCAACCAGGGATTAAGGAGAAACTTCCTAACAGTGAGGACAATTGAGCAGTGGAACAGCTTGCCCCAACAAGTTGTGCGTGCTTCAACACTGGAGGTTTTTAAAGAAGAGACTGGACAGTCACTTGTCTGAAATGGTAGAGGGTCTCCTGCTTGAGCGGGGTAGGGGGGGGGGGTTGACTAGAAGACCTCCAAGGTCCCTTCCAGCTCTCTTCTGATTGATTGAAAGATGTTGGGCTAAATTATGGTTGTAATAATAATAATAATAATAATAATAATAATAATAATAATAATAATAATAATAATAATAATAATAATAATAAAAAGTTGGAAGGGACCTTGGAGGTCATCTAGTCCAACCCCCTGCTCAGGCAGGAAACCCTAGACCATTTCAGACAAATGGCTGTCCAGTCTCTTCTTAAAAACTTCCACTGTTGGAGCATTCACCGCTTCTGGAGGCAGGTTGTTCCACTGGTTAATTGTTCTCACTGTCAGGAAGTTTCTCCTTAGTTCTAGGTTGCTTCTCTCATTGATGAGTTTCCATCCGCTGCTTCTTGTCCTGCCTTCAGGCGCTTTGGAGAATAGCTTGACTCCCTCTTCTTTGGGGCATCCCCTGAGATATTGGAACGCTGCTATCATGTCCCCCCTCGTCCTTCCTTTCATTAAACTAGACATACCCAATTCCAGCAATTGTCCTTTATGTTTTAGCCTCCAGTCCCCTGATCATCTTTGCTGCTCTTCTCTGTACTCTTTCCAGAGTCTCAACATCTTTTTTACATCGTGGTGACCAAAACTGGATGCAGCATTTGAAGTGTGGCCTTACCAAGGCCTTGTAAAGTGGTATTAATACTTCACCTGATCTTGATTCTATCTCTCTGTTAATGCAGCCTAGCACTGTGTTGGCCTTTTTGGCAGCTGCAGCACAATTCTCCAATTAGTTTGAAATGCAGGCTTTCCCTCCATTACTCCACCCCGCCATTTCCTATCATCTCTTATTTCAAAAGCTCTGAATACAATATTGTTATGTCTAGCTAAACTCCCGTGCACATTCCATCTCCTCCCGCACTATCATCTAATTCTCAGAGTTAAGCATTAGAAAGAAAAAGGCTGCATCTCCACATATTGTCAAAGCAAGAACAGCCAATGTTAGCACCCTTTACTTCCAATTTTTTTTAAAACCTAACTTTGTTAACGTTATTATTTATGATTTCGCCGTCTCCTCGGATAGCCAGATGGGCGGCATATAAATTTAATCCATCAAGGAACGTCTCCTAATTAATAAGCGAGGCCGTGGCAGCCCTGTTACCTGTCCGTAGATGCGGTTCGGCTTCTTCCCTCGGCAGTTAAACAGGGCCCACCGCTTGTACTTCACGTTGCAGACGTGAACGTCGTTGCCGTTACTCTCTCCAAAGGGGATGCCGGTGCCGCCAAAGACCAAGAGGTTATTGCCGTGCAACACAACTGCGAAAGACAACACAAAACGGGGGGGGTTTAGGTGACCGAGAGAAGCAAGAAGGAAACGGATCCATACTAGGTTGCAAAAGACAGCGTCAGTCCTGGGCTTACGACCGCGACGGAGCCAAACGTTTCCGTCGCGGGAGCAAACCGGTTGTTAAGTGAGGTTTGCCCCCAGTTTACGCCCTTTCTCGCCACGGTTGTTAAGGAAAACGCGGCCGTTGTTCAATTCGTAACGCGGCTGTTAAATCAACCCGGCTTCCCCGTTGACTTGGCTTGTCGTAAAAAAAACTGGATCACGTGATCCGGTGTCGCTGTCACATCGAATTAAATGAATTTGGGGTCCAATCGGAACCCGGAATGCTTTCAGATGCCCATAGAAGTCAAGCAAAAATAAAAAATAAAAAAGGAATATAATGCAATATATTTCTGGCATCCATTATTTGACTTCAGTTTTAGTAACGGATTTAAATCAAAGGCAGAATTCAAAATACAGACGCTTCGGCACACAAGTCCCACTCTAAAGGACGGGTAGTCCTCGGCTTATGACCACTGAGCCCAAACTTTCTGTCGCTCAGTGAGACATTTGTTAAGTCAGCTCTGCCCCCATTTTATGACCTTGCTTGCTGTGGTGGTTAAGTTAGCAATACGGTCGTTAAGCGAATCCGGTCTCCACACTGACTTCGCTTGTCGAAAGGTCGTAGAAGGGGAGCACGTGACCCCGGGACCCTGCGACCGTCGTAAATGTGAGTCAGTTGCCAAGCGCCTGAATTTTGATCACGTGACCCTGGGGACGCTGTGACCGTCATAAATATGAGTCAATTGCCAAGCGACTGAATTTTGATCACGTGACCACGGGGCGATGCCGCAATCGTCCTAAATGTGAAAAAAATGCTCATGTCGCTTTTTTCACTGACGTAACTGCGGTCACTAAACGAACGGTTGTAAGTCAAGGACTGCCGGTAATCGAGCACAGAGAAGTTTCAACGACACACGTAACGTAATAGCCTCGTCCTCAATCTTATTCTAATATAGTTTTTTGCACAGAGAAGCGTGCTTAATTGGACGTATTCAATTAAGAGACCCAACTGGGAAAGAGACAAAAATGGGAAAATGCAGCCTAATCAAATGATCTGAAAAGGTAGGAAAGGGAAAGGCAAGAACAAAATCCGATGGCGCGATCAGCGTGGCGCACTTGAAACCGTTTGCCCGTTTGCCACTTACGCGACATGGATGCCAACTCGCGGGGCATGTAGCCCTCCGTGCCCATCTGGTACCAGGTGCCGGTAGCAAAGTTGTATCGCCAGAGTTCCCGAAAGAGCGGGTAGTCCTCGTTCTCCGGCCCTCCGGATTCGTCGTAGTCAGGATTGTATCCTCCGAAGACGTAGAGATTGGCATTGTCTGCTACGCAGCGGTGGCCGCTCCTGGCCGGTGGCACCCTGTGGCCTAAAGCAGAATAAAGCCCTTAATGAGGAATAAATAAAGGATGAAGCAGCGGAAGGCAGGACAAGGACCAACGGATGGAAACTAGTCAAGGAGAGAAGCGACCTGGAATTAAGGAGGAATTTCCTGACAGTGAGGACAATTAACCAGGGGAACCGCTTGCCACCAGAAGTCATGGGTGCTCCATCACTGGAGGTTTTTAAGAAGAGACTGGACAGCCGCTTGTCTGAAATGGTATAGGGTTTCCTGCCTGAGCAGGGGGTTGGACTAGATGACCTCCGAGGTCCCTTCCAACTACATGATTCTATGTTCAATTTGGAGAAATAAGGAGGAATTTCCTGATGGTGAGGACAATTAACCAGTGGAACCGCTTGCCATCAGAGGTTGTGGGTGCTCCATCACTGGAGGTTTTTAAGAAGACACTAGACAGTCACTTGTCTGAAACGGTATAGGGTTTCCTGCTTGAGCAAGGGGTTGGACTAGAAGACCTCCAGGCTCCCTCCCAGCTCTCTTGTGATTGATTGATTGACTGATTGAAATGGTACAGGATCTCCTGCTTGAGCAGGGGGCTGGCCTAGAAGACCTCCAAGGTCCCTTCCAGCTTCTAAGAAACCTGGTTTAGCGTTACCCCTGCAACACTTCAGAGATTGCCTGAAAACTGCCATTTCATTCAATCCAGAGACTGAATATGTCTCTCTTGTTTTTCTTTCCCAATTTCTTTTTCTTTCTTGCACCAGATTGTAACAATACCCCTAGCTCTAAGAAGAAAAAAAAAAGCGTATTTTTTGACCCAGGAAAGCAGGATGTAATACAGTAAATCAAATCCACCCAGAAACAAACAGCATTTTTTCCCCCTCCTATTTGCTTGGGGGCAAGACTATACAGTTTAAGCATGGACTTCATAGGTGCAAAAAAATCTAATCTGACAAGAAGCTCAGCTTGGTCCAGCAGTAGGAAAGGACGCTTTCCAGAACAGGACATGCACAGAAGGAAAATCAATTTGGTGCAGAGGTTAAAGGTTTAGAAATGGGGAGCCCGTAATTTTTTTTAGTGCTGTCGTTTTCAAAATTCCTGTTAGCTGACCAAAGCTGCTGAAAAAGGAACAGCATAACTTCCTAGTACTTTCACGTGGTTAGTAAATCCCTGCAGATGCAAAAAGCACAGCCTTCCTCAAGTTGAGGTCAGCTCTCAGTGACTGCCACAGAGTTTCCCTGCTAAAAATAGGGAAGTGAGGATCCATCTCCCTCTCCTAGCTCTGCTTTCGATGTCTATCTTTATCTACACTGTACGACTTAGAAGATTCGTAGCTCAGGGTTGAAGTTTTGAGTCCTTGGTGGTTTGTGAGCTGGGCTGTTTCCTTGCAGACGTTTCATGACCCGACTAGGTGACATTATCAGGGAGTGGAAGTTGCAGAGAAGAGGAGGAGGAGAGGAAAGAGAAAGGAAAGAGAAAGGAGGAGAAGGAATGAAGGCGGAGAAGGAGGAGAAAGAGGAAGGACTGTGGATCCTTGATGCTCTCTGAGTTGGGTTGTTTTCTTGCACATGTTTCATGACCCAACTAGGGAACAGCATCAGTGCTAGAAGATAGTGGGGTTTACGAGGAGGAAGATGACTGTGGGGTCCTTGCTGCTCTCTGAGCTTGGTGGTTTCCTTACAGATGTTTCATGACCCAACTAGGTGACATCATCAGGGAGTGGAAGTTGTATAGAAGAGGAGGAGGAGGAGAAAGAGAAAGAAGGAATAAAGGTGGAGAAGGGGGGAGGAAAAAGAGGAAGACAGTGGGGTCCTTGGTGCTCTCTGAGCTTGGTGGTTTTCTTGCAGACATCTCATGACCCAAGTAAGTAACATCATCAGTGTTAGAAGGGAGCGGGGGTTACTTTCTGTTTATGTACAACTGGCTTGCCCTGTCAGTGTTGGTGGGAGTGGTCTCGGAGGTTCCTCCTTTGTTATTCTGAGTAGGTAACTCCTTGGGTTGGGGTATAAACAGAGAGCCAACCCCACACCCTCCTAATACTGATGATGCTACCTAGTTGAGTCGTGAAACGTCTGCAAGAAAGCCAACAAGTTCAGACGGCATCAAAGACCCCACCGTCGTCCTCTCTTCTTCGCAAAGCTAACTCCTTTCTAGCACTGATGATGTTACCCAGTTGGCTCATGAAACGTCTGCAAGGAAAACCACCCAGCTCCGAGAGCACCAAGGACCCCACAGTCCTTCCTTCCTTCCTTCCTTCCTTCCTTCCTTCCTTCCCCTTTCCAGCACTGATGACATTCCCTAGTTGGGTCATGAAATGTCTGCAAAGAAACCACCAAGCTCAGAGAGCACCAGGGACCCCACACTTGTTCTCTCTCTCTCCTTCCTTCCTTCCTCTCTTCTTCCTTCCTCTGTCTACTCTATTCTCCTTCCTCCCTCCCTCTTTTTCCCCTTCCTTCCTTCCTTCCCTGGTCAGGTTCCCTATTCGGGTTATAAAACATCTGCAAGGAAACCCCCAAGCCTGAGAGTCCTTCTTCTCTCTCTTCCTCCCTTTTCCTCCTCTTCACTCCCTTCCAGCACTGATTATGTTACCTAGTTGGGTCATGAAACGTCTGCAAGGAAGCCACTCAGCTCAGACAGCACCAGGGACCCCACAGTCCCTCCTCTTCCTCCTCCCCCTCCTCTAGCACTGATGATGTTCCCTAGTTGGGTCATGAAACGTCTGCAAGGAAACCACCAAGCTCAGAGAGCACCAAGGACCCCACAGTTGTTCTCTCTCTCTCCTTCCTTCCTTCCTCTCTCTTCTTCCTTCCTCTGTCTACTCTATTCTCCTCCCTCCCTCTTTTTCCCCTTCCTTCCTTCCTTCACTGGTCAGGTTCCCTATTCGGGTTATAAAACATCTGCAAGGAAACCCCCAAGTCTGAGAGTACCAAGGACTCCAAAGTCCTTCTTCTCTCTCTTCCTCCCTTTTCCTCCTCTTCACTCCCTTCCAGCACTGATTATGTTACCTAGTTGGGTCATGAAACGTCTGCAAGGAAACCACCCAGCTCAGAGAGCACCAGGGACCCCCCAGTTCTCCTTCCTTCCTTCCTTCTCCTCTTCACTCCCTTCCAACACTGATGCTGTTCCCTAGCTGGGTCATGAAACGTCTGCAAGGAAACCACCCAGCTCAGAGAGCCCCAAGGACCCCACCCTGGGATTTCCTGGTGGTCCCCTATCCAGGCACTAACCCTAACAAGGACTGACCATGTCTCCCCCCCCACTTTCTCAGACCAATCACCCCAGCCAAGACCCGCAGTCCCAACTCTGCCCCCCCACCTTTAAAGCGGCTCACCCGCTACCTCCTCCAGGGGGCCTCCCTCCCAGGTAAAGTGCCCTGGAGCAAGGAAGCTCCACTCCCCGCCCACTCTGCCTCCTCCAGGGGGGCAGGAGCAGCCTTCCCGGGGCCCGCTGGAGGAGGAGGAGGAGGGAGGGCGACGGAGGGCCGGTCACGCCCGACCGGGCCTACCTCGCAGGGCTGTTGCGGCGAGGCCTAGCAAGCCAAGAGGCGAACGGAGCGAGGGAGAGGCCTCCCTCTCACTCACCGCCGCGTCCAGGGCCGGGTGGGAGGCGGACGAAGCGGTTGAGGAGCCCCCCGGGCGGGGCCTGGGTGGCCGGCCCGTCGCCGCTGCCCCCTCCGCGCTGCCCGTTGCCGTCCCAGGCCTCTCCGTCGGCCGCAGACATGCTCCCCGCCGGGCCGGGCCTCGCCCCGCGTCCCCCCAACGGCCGACCGGCGGAGCCCACCTCAGCCGCCTCAAGGGAGCGCGACAAGGCGGCAGCGGCGGGGGCCCCTAGAGCGGCGTTTTTCCCCCCCCCGTCCGCGGGCCAATCAGCCTCGCCCTTGCTCCGCGGCAGCCAATCGGAGGCGCGCGTGTTGCGAGGCGAAGCAGGGAGGGCGGATTACCATAGAGAGCGGTCGCGTTGACCACCCGCCGGCACCACGTGACCGGCAGGGAGCCGCGGGTCGCCGCCGATCCTCCCTCCGCTTCGCGCGGCCTGCGTCGTCGGCGCGCAGGGCAGGCAGAAGCAATCGAAGCCAGAAAGGCTTCTCTCGCTCGCGCGCGTGCGTGCGCCTTCTTCGCAAGGGCTGCTGGGGGCTGTAGTTCCGCAAGGCAGTAGCCGCCAACGGCTATTTTCAATAGACTCGGCCACAATTCCTGAAATTATCCGGCAAGGTGTTGCATTTTTCAGATTTTTGCAGCCTGGTTCTATCTTGTGGTCTCCAGCCGGTGGCTGGGGATGATGGGAATTGCAATGACCACCCTGGGGAAAAAAGCAACAGGTTGGGAAGGCAGACTTGAAATAGATAAAAATAGAAAGATTAAAAAAAAAACCTAATAATAAATAGCCTCTCTAAGATCTCAATAAAAATTGAGTGTCCCACCATCGGTTCTTTGTGGTGTACCGACAGTCCTGGACTTACAACTATTCATTTAGTGAGTGTTCA